CACCAGTGCCACTCCCCTTATGTGGCATGCTTTGGATGGAGGGTTTTCAGAGAGGAAAACTAAACATGTTTAAAGCAATTAATGTGATTAGCACAGTTTAAACTGTTTTTATAGTTAATATCAAAGGTAAAACCAGTCATCTGTCAGTGACCTACTGTCTGTTTATACCACTTTAAACTGTATGGTGCTTTCCACACAGTTTAGATTTAAGTCAGCCCCTCATGAATGGTGTACCATCTTACTGACACACAGTTTATGCTTCTTAATGTACACATGTTATTTCAAGAGACTTTTATCATCATTATAGCAGTAACTTTGATTAGTGTAGTTGGTTGAAAAAAAAAAACACATTACTGTCTTGGCTGACAAAATGGGACCACATATGGTACGCCCTGATGGAGACTCTTATTACACACTCTTCCTTCCCTCTGTACCAGCAGGAGCGGCGTATTTCATTTTACCAGCACTGTAATACAGCAAACCTCCAAAATGAAGTTGACAGTCAGCACACTTTCTGAAAGAAGTAATTTAAACCAGCAGATTGGCTGCATTAAAAGGGTTTACTTTAACATGGATTTATTTTTTTGCAGGGCCTTTGGGTAAAGTCCATACCTTAAAATCATGGTGCTTTATGTTTTTTTTTCTTTTGTTTTTTTTTCTTTTTTTACCACCAGGAAAAATTAATGCTCAAACTGTCTCCCCACAAATTATGTCTTCGGATCAATACTATGCTCTACATTAGTAACAAGGTTATCCTCCATGGACCTCTAATTTATCCTCAAAGTTGTTTCAGTGAAAAAGCAATTATTCCTTTATTCATCTATGTACAACTTTTATTCTATTGTAAGAACTTGTTTTCAAGCATTTTATTCTCAACCTCCCCCTCCACTAATGTATTACATGAGATATTGCAAAATTATTTATATCTTTTAAATCTATTTTGCTCTTAGTTTCATAATTTTTCATTATACTTTATTAATATGTGTATCTGTGTGTGCGTATGTGTGGCCATGTTTTTGTAACAAGCTGTGTACTTGTTTTTCCTACAAGGCGGGTACAATTTTCTGTTAAACTGCTACAGTACATTGTAGGGACCAACCATTCTTATCGGGACCTGCATCAGGTCCCCTTGGGTAGATTACTGCTTTAGGCTTAGGTGTTAGGTTTAGAGCTAAGGTGTTAATTGGTACAGGTACATTTCTAGGGTTAGAAATGTACCTGTAATGGTTAGTTTTAGGGTCACAGTTAAGTTTTATAACTCACCGATAAATGAATGGACATCAATGGAAAGTCCCCACCGCAATAGTGAAACCAGACGTGCGTGTGTGTGTTTAAAAATAACTTAATCAATTTATTTGTCAAATTTCTCACGTTTTAGTTATACAGTATAGTGTGAGTTCAAACAGAAACACCTGTTAGAGCAGCAAGGACTTTATACAGTACATCAGGACCTTTCACAGATAATATTGTTGGTTACAGATGATCTCCTATAAATATGACAGATAATGACCTATGTTGCTGAGAAAAATGTGCAAATATTTACAGTGAAAGTTGACCTGATCAGGTATCAACTCAAGGAGGCTAAAATTAAATGCACACCAAAGTTTTTAAATATCCATCTCATTAGATCCCAATAACTTACAGGTGCGTTTTTAAATTATAGTTATTTAAATTTTACATGTGTTTTAACTCTGCTCTGTGGCTTTTATGTAGACAAAACACATTAATATCCGCTCAAATATTGCAGGTGTTTTGAAAAAGGACTTAGTGTCTATGTGGACTGCCTTCTGAACACTTCTGTTCTGTAGAAGCAAAAGCTCAGGTTTTGGCAACAGCAATATCCAAGTCGACTTGGACAGGATTTTAACATTTCAACATTATTTCTGTTTGGAAGAACTAAAAAGCCCCCATAGTGTACTGTGTTTGGGCACGTCAATGTTTGTTTGAATAAAATTAGGCTTATAAACCTCAGTATATATAACTTATTTACATGCACCTTACTTTGTTTGAAAGGCAAAAGTCTTCTGATCCTTTTGAAAGAAAATTTTGTCTCCAAACACGTTAAGACTTTGAAGTTTTTGAAATTTGTCACTTGTTGCTTAGCTCTGACTGTGACCCTCTTTCTAAGCCGCACTGTCACATTCACAAACCCACAGTTAAGCACCGTCACCCAAAACGGCTGAGCCATGACAGGCTTAGGTTTCGTCTTTCTTAAATGGGGCCTCGGTGAATAGAAGGCCCTACCTGCTTTGGCTGGGTGAATGAAGGAGGCTGGGGATGAGTGTTGAGCTAAGAGAGAGCTGAGGACCCATTAGAAGAATGCTGCCTCTCTGTCCTTAGTTGTAACCTGACCTGTTGTCGGCCCATCTAACTAAAGGTCAGGAGAGAATGGACAGAATCAACTTGAGCTCCAGCAGTAAGAAATTAAGTAAGCTGTACATCATATGATCATCCTAACAAGAGAGCTTTATCATTGGCATGATGGAATGTTTTTCTTTGTTTCAGTTTTGATATATAGTAATATTTCACATGGATTTTTATAACAATACTATTTATATGCTGATTATATTCAACACAGAATATAACATTTCTTCATAGGTTAAAAATTTAAGTACCGGTACACTGTATTTACACTGGTTTATTCATTGCAGTTCTCATTCTGACCAATGCCTGTATTTACTCAGTCAAGTATCTATACTGTATTATCCTAGTAATATATATATATATATCTGCTTATGTTGATGATTATAGCATGAACATGAAAAAAATTGTTTTATTTATTTTTTTATTTCAATTCCATTTTATTACCACCTCACATACAGTATCGGTAGAATAACAAATACCTTCAACACAGCAAAGTTAGGTTTGCTGATGCCCATGAAATGGTTGTGCAAAGAATGCTGTTTGTTTACATATTAATGGTATTTAAGAAATAGAGTTGATCTGTTCCTCAGAGTTACCAAGTTGTCCTTTAAGATAAAGTTAATTTTATTTAATGTGGAAATCCAGGTTTATAAGTGGCATTAGGTTTAGTGTAAAATGCTCATGGTCTAAAATTATATTGGACTATATGTTTATATATATATCCAATATTATTATATTGGATTATATGTCCTCTGCTGGAGTTTGTCCATTTTATTTTATTGATACCAAGGTCAATACAGTTGTTTATCAGCTGTGAATATCAGCTGTCTTGTGTAGATTTAATTTACAGAAATGTTATGGTGGACAGCTTTATGGCATGTGGATTTGATTTCCAGGAGGTTTTGGCACCTGCTCACACTGCCAAATGCACCAATAGGGTTTCACTGTGCTTGATCAGAATGCAAACTCAGCTGACCCAATTCCCAAGGAGGATCAATGGAGTATTGTCAAGAGAAAGATCAGAGATACTAGTATACCAGTGCAGTGTGTATAATTAATTTCGACACCCGATAGTTAAGCAAACACAAGGAATAAGTGTTATGAAAGAGTTAATTAACAAGTAAACTGGTGTTGCTGGAACAGGAACACAACTGGAACTGTAATCACGAAATGCCACTAACCTTCTCAGATCCTGGAAGATTGTACTGGCTCTAACGATCGTTTACAGTGGCTCCATTTGAAAAATTTGGATCATAGATTGTCTGATTCAAGTCTTAACGATGCCACAAAGGGGAAAGGTTAGCAGGAGAGACCTAGTCAGTTCGGGGGTCATGCACAATAAAAAAGTCCACAGGACAGAGTTTTCCAGAAGGGCTAGAAGGAAATGTAGGAGCTAGGCAATCAGTATCAGGAGGCACACTAACTGTGGAGAGGTTTCCAGAGGGACTGAGGCTGCAGGTAGACCTGAGGTTCAGGCTCAACAACCCAGACAAGGGCAGAACCAAACAGACTTGGTTGTCAGGCAAGGTGGGAGGTCGAAGTCCAGAGTTTAGAAGCCAATCTTTAGAAGCCAGCATCTGACAGTGTCAAGGCAGGCAAACACGAACAAGACAGGTTTAGACAGGTAGAAAGCTAGAAACGCTGGGTGGTCTACTTACACAAATGACTTTCAAGAATCTGGCGATTACCCACTGGGAGAGCCAGAAATATATAGTGCAAAACCGCTCAAACCTCGGTGCAGCAGAGGGAGCAGGAAGTGATGTCATGGGACAGCACACAGCAGTTTCTCATGCAGGAACAAATAGGCCTCATTAACTCCAGTTAATTGCCTGTTCAGTAGGCCCTCTCCTTTAAATTGAAAAGTATTTCTCTTCAGGTCAAATGTCATATTATAATCTATCAGAAACAGAATTTCGGTTTATTGGTCATAAATTAATATTGCAAAAAGACAGCTTTACCTATTAATAAAGTATACTAAGTGAAACCTCCCGCATTATTCACCCATAAATAATTTTTCCTAACATGACAGTCCCTGCTAAATGCTGACAGTGAATCCTACTTTCACCCCCCACAGTTTGTTTTTGTTTGTTTAATTTTCCATTTTCTTTACGACCCCTGAAGTGGATATGTGAGAAGCCTAATGAATGATTCACATGTTAATAAATCTGTTGCACTCATTGGGTGAGTGCTTAGGATCGAATGAGCCAAGCTGGGTCAGATATGAGGTTGTTTACAGTCAATGTCACTTGTCAGTCTAATGAACTATACAGTGCTAAACGCTTATCTCCTGCTATACATTACAGCAAAATAAATGACTGTACTGTACGGCGTACTCCAGTTTCCCCTGCAATTAACATAAGAGGTCAGGACTCTGTGGCACAGGTGCACAGTTGTTTTCACAAAAAAATTGGGATTTGCAGCTTCATTCAATGGCAGTGGAAAGAAGTACTTACAGTTACACATCCAGTGCACGTATGCATGTAAATTCTTCAGTCAATATATTTGTAAAATTAAAGTCCTCTTTTTTAAGCTTAAGAAAAGCTAGAGATTACCTTTTTTTAAATCACTCAGGCACAAATACCTTAGACTATTATTATATGTCCTCTTTTTGTAAGCTGTCCGTCCTCCTCCTACAGTTTGAGGGCTGTAACAAAGCCTTCTCTCGCCTGGAAAACCTGAAGATCCACCTGAGGAGCCACACAGGCGAGAAGCCGTACCTCTGCCAGCATCCAGGTTGCCAGAAAGCTTTCAGCAACTCCAGCGACAGAGCCAAGCATCAGCGCACTCACCTAGACACGGTCAGAAAACAAATTGCCTGTTCTCAGATTTGTGTTTGACTGCTTAAAATCACCTGGGTCGTTGGTTTGCTAACTAAAGCTGAAAAACCATGTGAAGTCTTTCAGATAAAGGCTCCTTTTGTCTGTCTTTGAAACTCAGGCTGAAATTTAGTGTTTAAAAATCAAAGGGGAAGGAGTAAGTAAAAATTAAGGAGTAACTAGTAATAAAAACTTTCCTTAGTGTTTGTTAGTGTGCATGTTTTCTCATTATCTTTTATTACATTTAAACTCTGCTGCCAAGTTTCTGTGCCTATTTGTATATTTCGAAAGAGTTTAATCTATCCTACATCAAAGAAACTATGGGTTTTTTCTCACTTCACATCGAAGAGCGACATTCTGCTGCTTCTTGTTAATTAACAGCAAGGTCCCCTCCGGCCTCCATTGAAGAGGACTTGGGTTTGGGCTGCCAGCTAAAACAGAGGTCTGCCTGTTTCTTTAGACCCTACACTATGGCAGGGGAACGACTGAGTCATCTTCCGCTGCCACTCGTTAGGTGGTTGTACTACCACCAACTTACAGTCCACTTGACCGCCATTCCCATGCTATGGAATTAACGACTTGTGTTGCTCTCACTCTGTTTTTATCATTCTGGTTTTCCCGCAATAAAATGAATTTCTTAATTGTTTTTTCAACATTTTGCAATAAAACGTTTGCAAAATTATCTAATTCTAGATAAGCCTTTTCCAAGGAGTCTACTGTAAATGTGCACTGTATGGTGCACACTTTGAAACCCTTGGGTTTTAGAGTCGGACTCAAGATTTATTGTTAAAATAATGAAAGACTAGATTTAGCCTGTCTAAGTCTTTCGTGCAACCTTTGTTACATTTAAAACGAAATATTTTGTCATGCAAAAGGCTTATTTATTAGGATATAATAATACACCAGATGTGTTTCAGTATGCACGTGCAGCAAAGCAACATGGACTGTCTTACCCAGAGGCTATGCATGTGTAAGTTTTGCTCTCTGATCAGTCAGCTGTTCACACTATCAATATAATACACACCCCTTTGGCAGGGTGCTTCCAAGGATGCAGCCCGTAAATTGGGACACACCCATAATATTAATAAGATACTTAATTTTATTTCTGGGTGCCTTTCAAGAAACAGTGTCACATAAAAAAGATCAAATACAATCAATAACAAAGCAGGACTAAAACAAGCAATACAACTACGTAGCAAAGTAGAAATAAAAAACGATGAAAAGCGGATGCTATGTTTGATATGCAATTTGGAAGAAGTGCATCTTGAGTCTTGCTTGAAAAACAGAATATGATTGAGAATATTGAAGATCAGCAGAAGTGAGTTCCAGAGATGGGGAGGAGAGCAACTGAATGCTGGAGCTGTGGAGTGTACTTTGCAGTTTGTAAAGGTAAACTTCTGCTCAGAGTTATTTATGATTTATAGCAGTCTGATCATGTTAGCTTAAGTGACATAATTATGACTATAAATGTTTTATCAGTAAGACACATTAGACTTGTCAAAATGAACAAAACTTTTTTCTGTGTGCATTTGGACCTTTGACCTTTTTACTTACTCGAAACCTAATTCACTGTTTTGTATTTGTATAATACCTTTGAACATTTTAAACTTGGAAAAAAAAAATGTTTCCTAATAAAGTAGAGTTAGGATAAAGAGTGAGCAGCTATAAACGAAGGGCCTTTTAATCAAAACACTTTCAGAACTTACAAAGGTGGCCTGTTTATATCTCCTAATTTAAAAACATTGATTAAGTGCTTATTTAAAAAAAAAAAGACATAAAAGGCAAATAGAAAATTCCCCTAATATGTTTCCTCAGTGTAAAAAAAGCAGGATATATTTTTTAGTCATGCAAATAATACCATTTTTCAACAAAGTTTTCTGTCTTCACACCAAATTTTTTCCTATTAAATCATTCAAATATCACATTGAAACCAGAAAATAAATGCTTACTTGTGTTTTCTTTTCTTTATTAGTTGAAGGTTTTCTTCCACCACCCACATTTAGCTAATGACTTCACACTAACTCACAGCTAAGGCCGTAACTGAGTTCAGCCAGAAACACTCAATTTTATACGCTTTAATGACTCTTACCCTACTCAGAAGTTGTACCGGATTACTTACTATACTTATGCTTTTGCACTATAAATGAAGTGAAACTAGCCTTGGCAAACCTCAAAATGAAGGTGCATGGGACAGATGTGCAAATGGGCAGAGCTAAATACTCTTGTTTTGTTTTGCTTGGGTATTGCTTAATTTCAACGCAAGATGGCAACAGAAATCTGAGAGGATAAATGTTTACCTGATTTTTTTCTTTACAGGTTTGCTATGCCTTAGAAAAAAAAAAAACATGCACAATTGGAGAGTAAACTGAACCTCAATAGTTTCAACTTCATAAAATTCTCCATTAGTCCACAGAGTCTGTTGTGGAAAAAAATCCAGCTATATTTGTATCCAAGCAAACTTTTTAATATATATTACTTATACATCCTGGAGCTTTTATATTTTTTAGAATGTGTACATTACTAAATATGCAGCATCAGCGATATGTGTGCTAAGATGAACAGTGTGGCTAAAACATGAGCTAGAGAAAGTCTATATACATTTGACTGGAATGAAAAAATGGTTCAATCAGCTGTGAAGTTGTGGTAAAACCTCCTCAACTGATGGTCTTTTCTTTTCATTCTGTTTCTACACCTTCTTTTTCTTCAAATATTGTGTCTGTCTCAGCCAAAAGGTAGGACTTTTCTTTTTCTCTAACTAATTTCCTGTTTACTGTTTTAACATATCTAGTTGTTTAGGAGCTTAAACTTTTCTTCCTCTTTATTTCCTGTTTATCTATATATTTATTTTTCTAATGCAATATATTTGAAAAGATTTAAGTTGGTGAAAAATGTTGAAGTTGAATTCCTTCTTTGTTCTCACAGAAACCATATGCATGTCAAATCTCTGGCTGCACTAAGCGCTACACGGATCCCAGTTCTCTGCGCAAACATGTCAAAATCCACTCAGCCAAAGAGCAACAGGTGCATAAGAAGGTGAGAGAAGGAATCGTGGTGGGTTACAGATAAAAATTTGGATTAATTACATTTTTAGCCCAAAACTACTGATATACCATCAATTTTGGACTTTTCTTTTTTTGTAACCAAGAGGTTTTATTGTAATAGGAAAGGAGAAAGGCGTCTCTTAGGAGTGACTAAAGTAATATAAAAGAAATATCTATTTGATCAAAGAGATTTATCTACAGTTTCTAAGTTACATTTTATTGAAAAATAGCACATCATGCAATTTTATGTTTTTATTGGTATTTTATCTTTGGAGATTCAGTCTTTCAGGACTTAAGGTTTCACTTAAGGTCAAATCATCTTAATCTTCTTTCTCAGATTTCTTTTTTTCACTCCTGCTTGGGCACTTCAAAATAAAAAAAATTCTTTGAGTTAAATTAAATATATCACAAAATTTATGAAATTGCTTTAATTCAATATGTTTGAGGGTTACATATGTCTGTGGACTGATTGGCACTTTACAATATCTGATTGAAAATTTCCTCTTTTTTATCACAAGATGAACATTACTTGTTGACTTTTATTTTGTTGTGCTTTCATATATAGGGAGTCCACTCTTATTACTTAAACATGACTCCTACAGGTTGCAAAATGTTAATATTTAAAATATCTAAGGTATCATCTTAACTTATACTACAGATTTTACAGTCAGTAGGAGGTGTTTTTTAAAAGATTATTTCACAATGTTTAAAGTAATCAGTTTTAAGGTTTTAAGCCATTAAACTTGGCAGACTAGGTAAAATGTTTAAGACAAAGAAATTGATTCCACATGTTATGATTAAAATTGTGTCTTCATAGCTACATTTTCTTTACTGTGGTTTGAGAGATTAAAGTCACCTTAGGAAAATTTCCTGAGTTGTCACATGTAGTTTAAATGAAGGGTAAACAGTCACTTCTTTGTGGCCTCTTTGATATGAGAACCTAGATGATGTCAAGTTGGTATAAACCTGCTAGATTTCCACAGAGAAACTCTTACTCATAGAGGCTTGCTGATTACCTGCCTGACCGAGGCTCTTTCAACAGCTGACTCAGTTGGAGTTGAAAACTCAATATACTGTAGGAGGTCTCTTAAGGCTTTGTGATGTTATTAACACAAGACGTTTTATTGCATTGCAATGTCTAAAGAACATTCTGTTCAGGTTTTTGTCTCGGTTTCAAAAATTATTTGTTCTGGGAGTCTCAATTTGAAACTTTACCAAAAGAAATTGAATAAGTAGCAAAATTGCAGGTTTCAATTTTAGTAAAAACCACATTTAATTTAGTTTATTTTACATTTAACGAATTGAGTGCTAGAATTATATAAGCACATTTACACAGAATTTTCATGCAACATAATATTGGAACTTTAATCTGGCTTGCAGCATATTACAGTGTTGCTTTAATTCATTCTGTGCAGATAAGACGTTTGTTCTGCTTCTTAATCTAAGTTATTTTCTTTAAAGGTATACAATTTGATGGCTAGGGGTACAGATATGATTAGATATAAAGATATATACAGATATAAAGAAAAGGTTCCTGGAAGGAGGTTTATTTAAAAGGAACCTTTCACAAAGGTTTTTGTTTTTTCTAAGACAAATGTTTAGCACAGTGAAATCAGGGGTTCCCAAGCTTTACACAATGGACTCACCCTTTGGTTTAGAAAAACGTTTTCACAGCTGTGTGATGATATGCACACAATTGTTTTAAAGCTGCAGAGTGCCATGCACTGTGTCAGCCATGTGAAGAGAATATTAGTGCATTGACTGAACGTGTGACTGACTAAACAATAGTGAATAGTGAACCTGAATAGTGAGATGCATCCCCAATAATAATCCCTGCATTAGCACTGATCTAGAGGAACTGCTGAACAAGAGAAAAATAACCTTTTCAAAGACAGGGAATTAATGAGGAGGATACAGAAGCAACTTCTGGTCAAGATAAGAGAAAAAAGGAGGAATATTTTAATCTTTTTTTTATTAGAGTTGTCAATTAACTTTTTGACAGATTAAATAAAAAACACACTTTGCGGATAAGTTAAATTAGAGCATTTATTTGCATCACATTTGATACATCAAGCATTTCTGTATAATCTTACACATTTCTGCTTACTACGTGTATCTGATTCTGTCAGTCAGGATTTTTTTTCAAAAATATCACACTGATGATGCTGCAGAAGTCTCAAAAATCGTGTATCAAATATGATAGACTTGGCTTTGAAGGGTTAAATATGTAGCTGTGGAGATTACAGAATAGAGTATAAGGATATGACAGGACAGAAATCAAACAAACAGAGGGATAAAATGGTAAGCTTTGAGCTGTTTTCATTCACAAAGAGTTCCACAGGCTGAGATCAGCTATGGAGAAGGCCCTTTATAAGTGGGAGTCAGGTGAGGGCAAGTGAGAGGTGAATCTTCAGGGAATTTTTCCTAAAAGTGTTTTGAAGGTGGGTGAAAGGTTATGTCTAAGACCACCTCCTCTGTTGAGAGATGTTTTTTCCAGGTTAACAAAGATGGCTTCCTTAACCCCTCACTTAAATCATTGTTCTTCTTTTGCATAAATATGGACTTTATTGTCTTCAGGTGTAGATGAACAACTTGAGTCCTGTCCTGAGGAGTTGGCCCTACTGTGTTGAGCCAACACAGTAGTTTATGTGTTGAGTTGCTGTTACTTGGAGAGAAGGCAAAACGTCTTCTAGAAAACTTCAGGTTCAGTTGCCTAGAGTGAACTTTATCAAACCTCAACAGAATCCTCTTCTTGTCACGATTCACTTAAACGGGATTGTTTCCAGGCACTGAGACTTCTTAGTCCGAAGACTTCCAGTGAGTTGAGGCAATTCAGAAGCATAATGGAATTAAAATATCCATTCATCCTTCTGTTGTTGGACCATTGCTTTATGGGAACACCAATTTTAGTCAAAGGATTAATTTTCTTAATTTTGTTTTGCGATAACATCCTTTTTTTTTTTTACCTTATTTGTGAAAGGAAAACAGACCCTGAGCATGAAGCTTTAACTCTAAACATTGATGTTTTCTGGGCTATTCTTGATTAACATAACCATTTTTTTTTTTATCTGTAATAGATTTTAAACAAGAAATAATTCCAAACACAGATCTTAATTTATCTTGGAAGGCTTCTTGAATGCCCTGCCCAGTGCTCTATCCCCAATTTATTGAAGATGCAAGAACTCGACCTAAACGCATTCTTATAACAGCAAACCAACCTATTTAAATACACCTTAGAAACTCTGATAAAGTGTTAAAACTGATGAGAAAAAACATCACCTTAAACTCTCAGTTCATTTAGCTTTTATCTACAACTGGATTTAGAGAAGAGGGGATGCATTTGAAAATAATTTCCCTTTTCAGTAGATCAGGTTCACCACATTTCATCACAGTTAGTTTAGAAAGCCTTTTCTCTCCCCCTTCCTGGAAGTGGCTAAATAACAGAGAGAAAGAGCTCATTGTTGTGGAAATGGCTGGATAGTGGCAGGCTGGATGATGTGTTCCGCTCCTTCGCGTTTTAAAAGAGGAAACACATGTGTGTTTGCAGCGTTGTTAATAAGCTATAGTGCAGAATGCCCCGGCGGCCCAGATGTTATGGACAAATGTCAAACAAACGCTCTTACTCCACAGATGGAGTTGGCCCAGAAAAGCAAACTGTTAAGAGTGTCGCTGTAGAGAAACCAGAACCTCAATTACGAGTGATGAATGCTTTGCAGGACGCTCACAATAATCCCCAGGAATACTCATGTGTACACATTTACTGACACAGACAATGAAACCAAACATGGAGGATGCCAGCAGGAAAACTGTTAGGATAAACCACATTGAGAGCATTATAAAATCCCTTGTGGGAACACAAGAAATCCTACATAAAGCAGAGATATACTGATTGCCCGTTCGGGACCTTGTCAACGATTTTTGTCACGTATACACAAAGTTTCAAGAGGATGTCTTAATGATGCAGAAAAAAGATGTTTCCAACCACAAAATCAAAATGTGGAAGTAATTTTTGTAGTGTAGGCTGTAGATTTGAGGATAGATGTATAAGTTGGAAGACTGACAATGATGATGTTTGATGGTTAATCGTTTCTTTCATTTGTTAAAAAAATAAATTAATTAATTAGATCTGACCTAACAATCTGGTATTCCTATTGTAAATTTTTTTTTTAAATATATAGTCTTCACATGCAAACTATTGGATGATCTGACATATTTAGAGAAATTGTTTATTATTGTATTTAGATTTTAAATTTAACAGATGCGTCTGTACATAATTGACCAGAATGTATTTGTTTCAGCATGTGTTAAAAACTATTTTCAGTCACACCGATATATCTGAAGCTGCAAAAAATTATGAGCTTTTTAATAAAACAATACACATTTTTTCACTCAGCAGCCAATGGAGTTGGCATTTGTTGCAATAAATCAGTTCCCTTTTTTAGCAAAACATAAACTGTAAAGCCATCATCATGGCTTTAATTAATCTTAGGTTCATAAGATTCGTCAACATTGATAAATCTAGCTTTAACACGTGAATTAATGACTGGGTAGTTTTCCACTATTATCTTAAGCATAGATACCCTAAATTCATTTATGTCTGATTACATGACACTTTTGTTTTTAAAGTTACTTTTTTCTTCAAAAAGCAAAATCGGCACGAGAATAATCCTGCTATTTTGAGTCTCTGTTAAATCATGCAAAATCTTCTGAACTGAGAACAGATGTGGTTGTGTAACAACTGTAGTGTGTAACTCAACAATAATGTCTTATTACTGCTACAGTTAAAGCTGTATTACAAAAGAGTCTGATGATAGAAGTCAGCTGCATACATGACAATGTTTATCTGTTTTGTATTACAATGCTGTAGATAATAAAAAAATCTTCAACTTTAGCATGCCTAATTTTATCAACAGCTAAAGCAGGCCGTGACAGATGTTATGCAAATTTTGAAAAATTGCGATGCATGAGCGTTTCTTTTCGACAGAAGTTATCCTATCTCCGGCATGCAGTAGGAGACAATGTTCTGATTCTGTGGTAATAAAGTTATTGAGACACAGAATCTTTAAGATAGCTCCAACTTGCTGCAGCCTGACTTAATTTATGAACAGTGCAGTTTACAACAATTAGAAGAACTTATAGACTTTTGTCAGGTGATAATGAGACAATGAACCAAAAGAAAAAGGTGAGGCATCACAACAGATTGGGAGATCTGCCCACACACTATACAAAATGCACTTTCATCCTAATCTTCATTAAGCAGGGTTAAACACATGTTTTTAGATGCAATAAAGCAGGGGTGGGCAAATCCAGTCCTTGAAGACCAGTTTCCCACCAGTGTTATGTGAGTTCTTGCTCCAGCAGGTCCGTGGGTGCATTCGATTTCAGAGGCTGCGTTCTTCAAGGTCACGAAGGACATTCGCCGCAACAGTTGACACCCAAAGCAAGCAAAGAATGGATAAAGAACTTCTCACTACTGTTTCGGGGGCTAATAACATTTCTGAGGAGCTTCAGCAGCAGTACCGTCCGCCCGAATATCCTATTTATAGTCCCTACACTGCAGAGATATTGAGTCTGTCCAAAAATCTTTCAATAAACCAAACATTACCCGCCACATATCTGACTCAAAAAACATTTTAAAAACTATTTTTTATTAATTTCAGATGGAACTATTCATATACTTGTATTGTGTTAAACTGGATTTGCCATCACCTCCACAAAAACATGTTGGTGAGAAAAGAAACAAAACAGTATTGGAACAGCTGCTTTGTTTTTGTGTAGTGTAAACCCATCTGTTTTGATGGGCTCTCAGTTGCCAAAAACCAACTGTGTTGAACAAAAATTAATCTAATTAATCCTAACAGCCAAGGTTACAATCAAGGTAATTGTTTTTTTTTTCTTTGTTTTTTTTTTCTTTATCTAGCTTTTCTTTACAATTGACACATATAAATGTTAAAGTCATTTATTGACATTAACATCATCGTTTCATTTTAGCAGAGAGAAAAGAACAGAAAGAAGCTGAACATATTCTTTTATCTGTACACTTACAAAAAACAGATTTATTTTGAAATTTGTAAAACTCACTCTTTGTGTATAATTCATTGTTATCTTTCTTAGCTGCGGCCCTGCCCACACCTGGAGCAAGATATCATGAGTGACTGTCTCTCCCTGCAGCAGCTCCAGAGCTCCACTTCCTCACATCACCTCTACAACGGCAAAGATGGTCGTTCTCCTGCACTGTGTCCAGACATCTTTACAGGTGCAGACAAGGCATCCAACACTGATTGTAACACATCAAAGAAAACAAATCCCTGTTTTTGTGGGCTTTTACTAAAACATGCATCGGTGAATCATTAATTCAAAAAAGTCCATTTTTTTTTTTTTTTATTTGTTGTTAAAAATTAGAGGACATGTCAACTGGTTTGTTTGAGAAATTAGTTTTCTGAATTTTTGTGTCTTTTAGAACCACAAAGAAAGGTGCATTTGCTACAACGTCTTATGAAAGCTGATGGGAACAGACAGCAAACCACTTTAAAAAGTGTCTAGTGAAACCTCCAGCACTGTCGTCATCTTTCCCTCTCCATTTTACCTTGTTTTCTGTCAGCGTCATGTAGCATGATCTGATCCCAACCAATCAGATGTAAGATGAGGAGTACATTTCTGTGGAACATTTTACATATTTTGAAAGGAAGAACACAAATCTATCTATGAGATGGAGATGGGGGTTATTGCTTTGGTTGTACTGTACCAATCTGTGCTCCATTACTGTTTTTGTTTATCCCTGTAGTCCATTATTCTTCACTGTGGTTTATACAATGTTTGTCTGAAATCACAGTTCAAACTGAAATTTCAGGGTTCTCCAAAATATAACTCTAACAATAACTGGGCAAAAAAAGACAATAAGATGCTGTCCAGCTCTTTTCAAATGAGTTTGAATGACGCTAAATGCAGTTTCTAAAACTGCAGTCATCCTCAGTGTCTTCACAGGCACTGGATACAGACCAATGACACAGGGGGGAGAGATAATGTGCATTCCCCTAAAAAGAATAAAACTTGATCCCCAAACAGACTCTTTGGAGTCTTGTCATCTTTTTTCTCATGAATAAGAGCATGTTTTCATTTTTTTCCCAAGAAAACTTAATATTTGCAGCTACCTAACCTGCCCAGTAAGACTAAGGCTTATAAAGATCAATAGTAGCTGCTCCCCTCAATATGTTTTCTAGAACATACAGTAAGTGACTGTAAAACTAGAAAGTGAATTTGTGGATTAATGCTTTTTTTAAAATACAGTAAAAGCAGATTTAATGCATTTGTATTCTAAAAAACATATTTTTAAAACAATGCTGGCTGAAGACAAGGCTTGTCCCACCACTATTATTTAACTATTTGGATGCTTATAGGGCTGCATGGTGGCACCGTGGGTAGAGCTGCTGCCTTGCAGCAAGAAGGTTCAGGCTTCATTCCCAGCATGGACTTTGCATGTTCTCCCTGTGCATGCATGATGGATGGATGGATGGATGGATGGATGGATGGATGGATGGATGGATGGATGGATGGATGGATGGATGGATGGATGGATGGATGGATGGATGGATGGATGGATGGATGGATGGATGGATGGATGGATGGATGGATGGATGGATGCTAATATGCAGTGTTTCTTGACCACTATACTGTAGTTATTTATATATAAGCCAGAAAGTGTCATTTTTGTCTAATCCTCCCAAAGCATCTGTTTGCTTCCTCCGTCATTACTGATTCCATCTTGACACATGTCAATTAAATACAGATTTATTGAATGACCTATCAGCTTACTTTCCTACCTGAACTTTGCATCTCTGGGTCTCCTCATTGGTTTCTTGCATATTCTTTAATTAACGCTCTCCTTTATCAAGCCCATCAGTATTGATGGACAGCTATGTCACAACAGATCATTCCTGACCTCTGTTGCCTTCAGAAAACAGCTGTGTTGCTTATGAGATTTAATTACACACAATTGACTCAATCTACTAATTAGATTATTTCTGATGCAATTCTTGAACCAGATTTTATTTAAGGGTATCAGAGTAAAGGAAGATAAACAGTTGGTATTTTTAAGGCACTAGAATTTCTAACTCTCTACAAAACGCAGGCTCTTACTGAAGGCAACCGGACTTTGGCTCATCAATTTCAGGCTTTATTGTTGTTGCCATGACCCGGAAGGCACAGACACATTCCTCAATGTGCCTTAAGACACTAATAGGGCTTTTGAATTAAGATAAACTGCATTCAAAATGTAGCTTCATTGTAATTGCTTATACATATTTCCCATCAAAAGTTGAACATTAATACCCTGTTTAATTCTAAGGTTAAAATGTGCTACAGCTTATAATTTAGCTTGATTTGGATTTTGTTAGAGTCATGTTAACTCTGCTGCTTCTTGTGGAGAGCTAAATGCTTCAAAAAGAGGGTTTATATAGGCATGCCAGGTCCCTACACGCCCATTTTGATGCTTAATGGATTTGGATTCTAATAAAAAGCACATTACAGTTGAATGAATGAGCACCACTAATAAATGGATTATAGAGATCGAAGTGACAAGGTAGAGAGAGACCCCATGGCTTCACTTTATTGATACCTCCATCCCTGTTTCCTCTTTGTAGTTGGTCCAGAGCCCCTGTTGTTCTCGTTCCTTGCTGCTATAGATCATCAGTTGATGCTCAATGTTTTCCAACTAGAAAGTCAACTAGTGCCTCCGGGTCTTGGCTTTTAAAATGCTGCTTTCCCTCATCTTTAAGTTGATGCTGCTTGTTCTCATGCTTAAACAGGTTTAAAGCCCTCCAAGGGACTTCCTTATAAGCAAGCTCCAAATTAGGCTCTACTGTACTTGTTGCCAGCAAAGATGTTGCAGCCTTGTGGTTTGGATTCAGGACTCCAATTTACACGAGTTTGACTTTGTTTGAGGACTAATAGGAAGCATGAAAGAAATGGGGCAGAGCTGGCAGGTATCCAGTCATTAACATTTGCAGGGCAGAAACTGAGTCATGGTTCCTGTAAGAGTTAATCGGGGTTTCCTGTTAACTGATTATAAGTCTGCACCTATTTACATGTCTGCAGTAAAGCTTACGAGAAACCCCTCTGTGCATAGAGGATGATTACGGTGTTCCCTGATATACCTGGATGGACTCGTTAGAGCTGAAACCAGGTGTTTGTTGGTGGGGTTTTTTTTGTTTTTCTAGGGCTTTTAAGTGACATCAATGTCATACAACAATCACAAATCTGAAGGATGTGTCATGTATATTCACTAAGGGCCCTCTATATTGATTTACACTGACACTACCCTAAAAAACAACTCAAAACTCTTGTTAATAAAGTGTTCACTTCTGTGCTGCATAATCTTACTATAAAAACTGGAGGCAGTGCCATTCTGTGGGAACACTTTTTTTCCACAGGATCAGCAAAGCTAGTAGCAGCTTGTAGGAAGAATATAGCAGCATTCTGTACAATTATGTTCTGCTTAACGTGATTTCATCACATAAATGTATGATAAAGACGTTGCAGTGTAAGTCTTTGTCTAAACTGTATTAATCAGTGATCTAAAAATCCTAAAAAAAAATGTAGTGTCAAGAGTCTTCTTCTGAACTGTGTGGTAGCACATGTTGGGTCTAAAGAGGGAAACATTTGAGGTTTTTAACGGATGATTTAAGTGGTGATGAATCAAGCTATTGTGCCGTTAGATCAGGCTGCAGGGTGCATACAACTTGAGAACAATTGGGCTTGAAAACTGCAAAAACCAGGAGCAATTTTCTCTTCTCTCCAACTTCTTCTGAGCTCCCATTTTTTAGTCACAGTTTAACCGTTCCAGACAGTTAGGGCTCACCTACTGCATACCATGAAAGAAACCAGAGATTTACAGTGAAAGGAGAGAAAGAGTTGATCAAGTTGATTCAATGCTAACAAGACTTGGTGTCTGCAGTGGGAAGTTCTTGGCCAAACGGGCCTCTGGAGGAACATTTCTTATAGGTTGATGAAACTGAACTACTGGAAAATTATTGTTATTGAAAGCTTAGAAGCAGCGGAGCAGATTTGTTGGAAGAAATGTCCAAGTAAATCTTAAAGGTATGCTCAAAGCGGTAAAGAATAAAAAGGAATCTTGGAAAAAATATGTTCAGGTAAAATTGCCCAACATCTGAGGGTTCCAACTTCACTGTTTTATCCTTTATAATGAGCATCTTTAGGCTTAAAGTTTCTAAGCCAGAGCAAACAAGAAGATTTCAAGATGTCACCCTGGGATTTTAAAACTGGGCAAGAGCCGTTTATTGGAGAAAAACATTGAGAGAAACTTGATATTGACAGCTTTAAGCTTGCAGAATGATTTCTACTTAACAACACTTTTCCTCTTGAAATAGAAGAAAAGTTGGCAAAATGGAGCCTGAGTATAAAATAATGGTTCCCCCAAAACACAGCTGCGCCAAAAACAATAAATTGAATAACCTTAAAACAGAGCGTTTCTAAATGAAACTTTTTGATATTTTCTTTATGTAATACAGAATCTTTGTTATGTTTTAAAGGTTCTACTTTTCCTCTTCAGCGTTTAAATATATGTTCTAATTTAGCTGATTATTGGATAATAACAAAAGGCGGAACCAGGCCAAGTCCCTGTGGCAGCACAAACAATGTACCTTAAATTACAAACAGCACAAACAAAGAACATTTTCTTCTGCAAAGCTCAGTGATTGGATGAGGGTTGTCAAAACAAAGGCCCGTTACCATGAAATGGCTTTTAATTTGGTCAAAGGAAAAGAGAGAATGCAGAGCCCTAGAGTTTATTTGGCACGTTTACTGAATTAAGTTTGTTTGTCTTTCAGGCCTGTATGCTGGCTCCAGCAACCCCCATCAGAGCGCCTCGATGGAGCTCCTCTCTCATACCCCCAACCCTGCCTCCGTCACCGACCTGCCCTCCCGACAGCACCGCGGCAGTCCTCATCACCTGTCCCCTCAGGCATCTGTGGATGGAGCAAGGGACGGGTAAGTCCTCCTCCACCCTTCTCCCGGGGGATGCGAAACAAACTCTAGATGCAGAGATGCGTCATACTTGCTCAATGTGGGTCACTGTTAGGGGTAAAAGAATTATAAACGTGTCATCAGGGTGGGAAATCCAAACATTAATCTGTTTAAAAAAAAAAAGAAAGACTGAGCTTTTCCTGAATAATGAGGGGAAAAAGATACAAAAAAACAAAAACTTGTATGCATCACCAAAAGTTACTCACTTTCCATGTTCTACAGGATTTCACATTTCAAAGGTTATGTAGCAAACCCTTTGAAGCAAAAGTTTACTACAAATACAATATGGGCAATACCAATAAAGAGACCAGGCAGCCAAAGGAAGTCCAAAGCATCATTTAATTTATATCTACTTCATGTTATTTTTTTTCCCTTTTTTTATTGCTTAATTTCCCCAGTAATTTATGAAATATTTTGGTAGATAACTTTAGACTCAAAGGATAAAGTTTTACAGAGAGAACAAAAAGAATCACACGCAGAGAATTACCAGGTGGGTTGTTGATTAAGACTTTTATGCAGTGGTGGAAAAAGTGCTTTGAAACGGTACTTAAGTAAATAAAATAAATAAACAAACAAATACATTCTCTAGTAAAAGTAAAATGCAGTTAGTTAAATGCAGAGGTAAATTTCTCTAATGTAAGATCAATAATGTTCTATTATTATTACTTTATTCACTCTGAAGTTAGCACACCGATACAACATCCAACTCACGTTGACCAACAGGCACTGATCTTTCCATCTGTAATTTTTTTACTCCAGTTTAATCGTGAACTCCACGTTTTGACAAAACAATAAAGTCAGCCTGGTACCGGTAATTCAGGGCTGTCAAACTTTCTATGAGGTCGATCTTCCTGCAACTTTTATATTTGTCACTATTTCAACAAACCAGAATCAAATAATTTGATAATTAATAGAACTCTGAGAATTTCTTGAATCATTCAGAAACTTAAAAGTTGCTGGACACCAAACAAGGATAGAAATCCCACCACTGCTTGTACGTCTTCAATCAATCAGAAACTGAACAAATCCCTTATTTAGTTTACCTGCATCTGCAAACACAGCAGTGGTGGTTTTTATCTGCCAACAACACCCTGGTTGGTGTTACAGAATGAAGAAAAAGAAAAATCATGTGTTATGAATTAATGGACTGTAAAGAGGATTTAGAAAAATAACTCAAAGGAAGTCTACAGTAGAGAGCAAGACTTTCAGCAGCTAACAGAAAGGCCTAATGCATTACAGCAAAGATTATCTGTTTTGTCATTGTTGGCTTTTACCATGTGTTTTTTTACAAAATGTGGCATCTTTAAGGAAATCCCAGAATTAGTGTACAGTAATGGTTCTTAATTAGTGGAATATTCTGCAATACTTGGAACCATAACTGCTCATTTCACATGTAATCGGCACAGCTCTGCTGCCAAACAGCATAAAATCCATAAAGAATTTTCGAAAAAGTAAATTCTGGACACTTTTCCCCGCTCCTGATACAAATGATTAATTGCTTCTGACCATCCCTTATATAACAGTTCGTAAAGAGAAATCACAATCTGCTAAGAGCAATTTTTGCAGTTTTACCCAAATGGGACGACCCATTTGTGTTGGATGACCATTTATGTTTTAGGAGTCTTTTAGGAGTCTTTTGTTGAGAATGCTTCAGTTCTGACTTGGTAGACTCTGTCAGGAGGCAAAATGTTAATGTTGTGTTCTGGGTAAACCAGGTAAAAAAAATAATCTATACAATGTTAATCTATTACAAAGCACAAAATGGGACTACAGCTCCAACACAATTTGCAGAAATATTAATAACATTAACCAATTTAACAAAAAAACAAATTATAAAATTAATTATACAAGTGGTACAGTTGTCACTGTGTGTATTCAAGTCCATTTGGAGTCCTGAGTTCAGCAGGGGAACTGAAGCAGAGCAGAGTCCCATTTTGACTTGGATTGACTCTGGACTTTGTGGCCAAAATAGTCCATTACACAGTCATCTTTCATCATATGTTAAAGTCTGATTTCAAATAGCTTCACAAATCGGTAGGATCAGCAACACTTCATAAATTCCCTCCATCACTACATCCTCATCCTGAATCAAGGCCTACAGTAACCCTCTTGTATCACATCAGGCCAAAGCCTTAAGGTCCTGCTGAGACAAGAGTTTGGCTTTCTTTCTACAAACATGAGGCTTCTAAGAACACCCCTCATGGGAAGAGGGGTTGCTCCGGTCACCACAAGGTCAGCACTGACGCACGACCGACTCTGTTTTGGGGTGGACCCAATTTGTGGATGCATGAGGATACAAAATCAAGCTCTGCGACAGTTTTATCTTTTTTCTCCGCAGCAGGCTCTTTCCTGCCAAAGGATCCATGTTGTTCTGATCTCCTGCAGGGATTCATGCTTTATTGATTGTCATGCTATCTAACAGTATTAGCCAAATGAAAACAACAAAAACAGTAAACTGTATTTTTTATAGCATTATAAAAGACAAATGGTCTTTGTCATAACTTAAAATGAAAGCATATGAGGGCAGTTTTTTTTTCAAGGCAATGAAAGATACTTATAATACACCCAAAGGTCACTTTATTAGGTACACCTGTTCAATTGCTAATACAAATCCTAAGAAGCTAATCAATCAGTCACATGGCAGTGCATTTTGGCATTGAAATGTTTAAGTGAAGATGACTTGCAAAAGTTGAAACTGAGCATCGGAAAAACAAGGCAAGAGGATTGAATGGTCCTAAAGTGTAAATTGGTCAGAAAATGCTAAACTGAAAGCATTTTTTCTTTCTCAAGAGCATAGAAATAACAGCACAATTAGAAAACCTACAACTGGAACAATTGAAGCTGGTTTCTGGGAGATAATAAGTTCACAGCACTAAAATTTTTTTGAATAAGATAGTGAGAAACAGGAGATATACTGTATGTCAGATTTACATCCGAAAATCTACAGTAACCATTTGATGCTAAAAGGTAAATATTCAATGCACCAATTCAAAACACATATCTTCTCAAGCACTTTAAAGTCCAATTTTTTTCTTTTTTTGAGTAAAGTTTAATAAATATTTAAGTTGTCTGTGTCTTTAAAACTATTGTGTTTGCCGTGTTAATTTGTGATGTTTACTAATAATATTCAAAAAAGTAAAAACACTATATTTTTTGGTAAATATATAAAAAATCTGCCCTATATTTATATCCCATGGGCAGACAGATGTAAGTTTTACATATATTTAATAAATGTAATTCCAGCTTCAGTTCGTATCATTAGTCAGGCTTTATATAACACTGATAGGAACAAAAGCTTGGGGAGGTCAAACTAAGATCCAAAAGGATGCTCCATCCTCCCCTTTCTTGTACCTGCTTGGCTCGGCGTGCTTCCCATTAGCGCACTTGATTTCCCTAGAGAGTGAGCGCTGCACAGAAATGGAGCCTGGTTGTTGTCAGAGGCTTAGCATGAACTGTACAATGAAAGCAGCATAAAACCAGAGAGATGTTTTTGTTTTGTTTTTATGGTTTAGAAATAAGTAGAAACACCTGGTCGGATAGACTATTATAAAAAAGAAATATGCAAAAGAGAATTTTTCCTATTATGTTTATTATTTCAGTTAGCCATACCTTAACTGTCACATTTTCGATATTTTTCTTGCTTCAGGATTTTTTTGTTCTTTGCACGTTCATTTAGTGGGAAGTGAGTTTACATGTGGTAGTCCAGGAAATATGCATGACTCCTTGTGATCGTGAGGCACAGCAGAGGGCTTAACATCCAGCACAAACATCACAGTGAGGCAGGCGCTGCGTAAAAATTGGAACAGCCTGGAAGAATCTGGAAGGTGGTGTGTTGTTTCAAGCCTTGAAAGTAGGAGGAGAACGCTGTCAAAATTACCTTGTGGTTTCTGCATCTCTTTTCTCGAGAGCATGGACCATTACCAGCGCAAGGACAGTGAAAAGGACCTGAGTAAGGGGATACCGAGTTACACAGGAGGGGTGACATATTGGATTTAAGACATGGATCCTCTTGTTTTGGATTTCTTGATGAGGAACATGTGACCACGGTCACGTTAGTTTGGGAGAATCCCCCTTTATCCTTACATATGTTTAACCTAAATCCCCAAATAGGTAATCCAACATCTTCACATGCATCATCAAGCATCTTTTAATCTTACACGTTTCAGATGTGCTTACAAGACAGCCCAGTTCTTATCTCATGATCAAACAGCTTCATGGTTGGTGGCGGGGCTGTGGAGTCAAACGACGAGAAAACCTCATAAAACTTAGATTTTCCTGGAAGAGCAGTGTTGGATTTACATGTTTTAAAGCTTTTGGGTATTTGGCCCTCTGCCAAAATCAAAATCAGTCCTCACACTTGTTTTTCCCAAAAGATTTTGCAGAACATTAAACATTTAGAGAAAAATGATCAAACTTAAGCTGCCTCTTGTGTGGCAGCTTCTAACCTCATGGTTAAATGTGTTTACTTTGGCTCAAATGGCCCATTTAGACTCTTTTCACTTTGTCAATATAGTCAGTCATTTTTCTAAGGCTAGAATTAAGATTATGCCAGTCAGAATGGATTTGGCAGTTGGCGTGGCCCAATCTCCTGGGCGGCTGAGATGGGTGGTAAATGTTGTCATTCACTGCTACAGCCATATGTGGTTATATAATTGCAGGGGGGAGGAGGGAGCACTACCTTCACCTAGTTATTGATATTAGAGCCCCTGTGTAAATATTAGTCTGAGGTGGTGCGATACCTTAGCAGTGATTGACACAGGCTAATTGAATTAAAGTGGCAGCATAGAGCTACATTAAGCCCCTGTGCTGAAGGGAGGCCTTTATGAGCTTGCGCCGTCTGTTTTTCAGCCATTATCTTTGCAAAGATCCTGAAAACAAGAATCAGCATTACAAAACAAATAGAAAACATTTTGTAAGGTTAATCATGGCAACATGTGGCTTACCTCTCGTTTTGTTGCTCAGTT